GTGCGCCGTGCCAAGTGAGGATTGAGGAATTGCGGGGAGCTGAGAGCCAGATCTTTATTGATACCACAGCAATAACTGGGCTCATCTCCTGCAACCCTTTCGGATCCCTAACTGTACCATAAACTATTTGTTCGTTCCTTCTAAGGCAGAGATTTTCTTGACTATTTCCCCTCCAGTCTGGAGCTCTCTTCTTGGCATCCGTGCTTGTCGTTTCCGGCTCTAGTGGGTGGTGCTCCTCTCCGTTACAAAGGCGAAGAGCCAGCGCTGTCCGAAGACGTCTCCATGGTCATGTGGCCGGCAGGACTAAACGCCTTCGAAGGTGCACAGAACGCTGTTCCCTTCCCACCAAAGGGGTCCCTATTTTTCCAGTTGCATTTTTGTTTTTTACGTGCTTTCAAACTGCTACGTTGGCAGAAGTTGGGACGAGGCAGGGGAGCTCATTCCGTGATGTGGCGCTGGGGATTCAAACCGCCGAACTGCCAACTTTCTGATTGACAAGCTCAGCGTTCTTAGCCACTGAGCCACCGCATACCCTGAGGCATTAGAACCTTTTAAAAAGGGATACAGGGAAACCCAACAGCCTCGTCACATAGAAGGAGACTGCCCCAAAAATATAATTCAGCATTTGGAAGGCGTGGGATTGTTGTCGTCGTCCAGGGCAGGAAAACTGACTGGTCCAAGGCTGAGAATTTAAGAGTCTCCTTCATATTTCTAATTGCTAAGTTGAGAGTGTCACTGGATTAAAAATCATTGGGGGGCGGGGGGGAAGCTATACTGATACATGAGAAAAAACTCAGGAAGGACATAATCCAACAAATCTGAGCCACAGGTTGCGCAATCTCCCCAAATGTGCATAGGCCAACTCCTAAACTTATGATTGTCAAATTAGCAACTTCAAGAGGTGTGGACTTCAACTCCTAGATTTCCTAGCCAGCCTGAAGTCCACGCATTGCTAAGGTTGAGAAAGACAGACCAAAAACCATGGTTGTCCGCTCTACAGAACTTGAACTCCTAAAATTCCTAGCCAGCCTGAAGTCCACGCGTTGCTAAGGTTGAGAAAGACAGACCAAAAACCATGGTTCCCAGCTCTACAGAACTTGAACTCCTAAAATTCCTAGCCAGCATGAAGTCCATGCATTGCTAAGGTTGAGAAAGACAGACCAAAAACCATGGTTGTCCGCTCTACAGAACATCCTATCCCCACACCAATCCATCATCCTGTATTCTGGTTTAACATAATAGCATGGTTCACACCTGTGATGACTTAGATGGACTTCCTTCTAATGTGCTCAACCAGAAACAATTTTCTCCTATTTCACTCTAATCTAATCATGTTAGAAGAGCCCATTGAGGGAACAAGGCAGAACTGGAAATTGTCCAACAGCAGGAAGATGATGGCTGTGAGTTCAGTTTTAAAAAAGGACATCACACGTCGTGCAGGCAGATAAACATGCCTGCGCCTGGGAATGAAAACCCGGATTAATTCCCAACATCACTGTGGTTCTTCAAGCACTTGCCTGCAGGCACCACCGAGGCGCATCTATGAAGTCATCTTTCAAATGATTGATTCAACTTATTTCTTATTCAGAGAACATTCAACCCTGGGATGCAGAGAGAAAATTTGGATTGGAAATGGGAGGAGGGGTTCACATGAACAGGTGAAACCCCAACCAAATCCAGGATAACAAGAACCTTGCTATTCGCAAAGTGTGTCACGTCCAAACCAACCAACCAACAACCAGTATTCTGGCGGTTTCACACAACGGCCTGAATCAATGGACAATGTTCTCGCAAACAATGGACCACAAGTCACCATTCTATAGGAGCCTACTTTAGAGTTGCACAAACTCATGTCTCTCATTTGGGGAGATGGATTCAGACAACCCAAAGCTCTCCAATCAACTAGACCCAGTGGGATTCAGCCGGTTTGGACCGGTTTTAGCGAACCGGATGCTAATTTTATATCTGGTTCACCAAACCGGTAGTTGCAACGACTGGCTGGCCCCGCTTACCCAGTCTCCACATGGCCCATTTTGGATCCCAGTGCAAGGCCCGCGCAAAGGCTCAAGGATGGCAAAAATGGGCCTTATGAAGGGCCTGGAAGGCTGGAAATGGGCCGTTTTCACCCTCCTGGAAGCTCGTGCTAAGCCTCCAGAGCCTGAAGAGGGCAAAAACGCCTCTCTCCACCCCCCCCCCGCTATGGTGCAGGAGGCCGAGTAGGCCATGCCCACCATGGTCACACCCAACTGGGCAGAAAACCGGTTGCTGAAATTTTGAATCCCATCCCTGACTAGAACAACCAGATAGCCGGGTCTAACTATTACAATATGGATCTTCGTCAAAAGTTTGAGAAGGCACGGAGAACCAGTGATGAATATATGATTATATTTTACTCGACATTTAATCTCCATTATTCATCACAGTATTCGTCACTTGCTACTGGCAGAAGATATGATTCATTACCAGCTAGAAAACGGATCCATCACAGCGTAAGTTAAAATACACTTTAGGCAGGATCCCGATCCCAGCTCAGTGCACACTGATAAGGTTAAACAGAAAGGTTTTAAAAGGATTCTGAATTTCAATCCGTTTTTTAAGTTTTCACAAGTAGGCCTTCGTCAGCCTGAATGCTGATGGCTTGCACAGTGCTGTATATTTGTGATTTGATTCTTAATTTCCCCCTTTTGTGGAAACAGCCTTTCCAAAGTGGGTGAGAAATTCTCTCTTCCTGGCCCAAGGCTGAGAATTGCTCCGGTTACCGAAATGACCCAGTTTCTGGCACATTCCTCATGCACACTGGCTTTGCCTCACTATGCAAGAATTTAACACATGCAAGAATTCAGCTAAATTGGCACAGGGAGAAATACAGGGGAGGTTTCCATGTGAGTGAAAGGCAATCATTTGTGTGTGTGTGTGTGTGTGTGTGTGTGTGTGTGTGTGTGTGTATTTAAAGATCTGTGCTTGAAAACAAAAATGAAATTCGAGTAGAGTCTGCCTGCATTCGCATCACATATTTAAATAGCTTTCTCATGAACCCATTTTCTGGGTTCATACAATACATGGAACCAAACCAAGCTGGTTTCACATATCACACTCACCGATGGGTGCGGCATTGAGGGGGCGGAGGAGAGAGATGTTGGAATCACAGTTTGAATTAATCCAATTCCTATGAATGTGATGCAAAAGCAGGCATCTGAAGATTAACTGACCTGGGGGATCCCAGAGGTTTTTTTTTTTTCAGGAGGCCACTGGACTTCCTTGCTTTTTCTTTTGAAGACGTTTCGCTTCTCATCCAAGAAGCTTCTTCAGCTCTGACTGGAGGGTGGGGAATGGGAGGATGACTGAGAATCTCTAGAGACTTTTAGCTATGCAATTTGAGATGAACACCCTGGGTGTGGGAATAGAAATGGATTTCCAGAGTGGGGGGGGGAAATGCAAACTACAGGAACCATGTGCGTTACTCAGGTGACCCTGAGGACACAGACAAACCTCCAAGTGGCCTCAACACAACCCTCTAAAAGGATGCAAAGGACCAGCTATCTGCAAGGAATATGAATCTTTCCATTCCCCACCATCCAGACAGAGCTGAAAAAGCTTCTTGGAGGAGAAGGGAAATGTCTTCAAAAGAAAAAAAACAAGGAAGTCCAGTTGCCTACTTAAAAAAAGGCACCTTTAGGACAACCATCACTTGGATGACTGAGAATTACAGACTTTGACCTGGAGGATAATTTTCTCCACAGTTCTCTGCATCCCCCTTTCATAACAGCTCTATGATTTGATTTACAAGCGGGCCACTCTTCCACCCTGCTTTACTTACTCAAAACAAACCCAAGGAACCTGCCGTGTTGGCCTGGATTGGAATAATAGGATTGGAAAGGATCTTGAAGGCCTTCAACTCCTGTCCAAGGCAGGATGTCTTATTGCATCCTGGATAAATGGCTGTCCAAACTTTTCCAGAAGATCTCTGGGGATGAAGCCCCCACAACCTCTGAAGGCAAGCTGTTCCATTGATTTATTGTTCTCACTGTCAGGAAATGCTCTCTTTAGTTCAAGGTTGGATCTGCCTTTAAGGAGCTTCCACCCATCGCTGGTCGTCCTGCCTTCCTTTGCAGAATAGGTTGACCCCTCCTTCCCGGGGACAGCCCTTCAAGCGGTTGGGAGGCAGCTATCACGTCACCCCTAATCCTTCCCTTCGTTAGACTAGACCAGTGGTCTCCAACCAGTGGGCCGGGGACCACTGGTGGCCCACGAGAAAATTTTGGTGGTCTGCAGAGAAATGTCACCCCCAAAGCAATTAATCCAGGCTGCGCAGGAACACAAAGCTGCGCCGCCCACATGGCCCGTGGGAACACAAGGCTTGCATCACTTGCATTGCGAACAACACGAGGGGGGGAGGGGGGGGGGGAAAGGGCGAGGGGGGGGGGGAGTTGCCCCACTCGCCCCACACACTTGGCCTGGCCACTGGGCTGCTTCTTTCTGCTTTCTTCTTCTGCTTTTGGCCGCACACAAGGAAAGCAGCGAAAGTCTTTCTTTCTCTCCCCCAAACTCCTCCAGAAATGAGCCTTTGAGACCCTGCAAGGCCTCCTGCTCCAAGAGGCTGCACCGGTGCGACAAGTCTCACAAAGACTCATTTCTGGTGGAGTTTGGGGGGAGAGAAAGAAAGACTTCTGCAGCTCCTGCTGCTTTCCTTGCATGAAGCCAAAAGTCTCTCTTTCTCCCCCTGAGAATAGAGCTGGAGATGGTATCCTGAGATCCCAAATAAAGAACGATCGATTGGTAGGAAAATGGCGGTGGGGAATTTTCCTGCAGACTTTTTTGGGGATTTTCCCAGGGTCTCTGGTCCACGGGATATAAAATTATGAGCTTGGTGGCCCCTGAGGTCCAAAAGATTGGCGACCCCTGGACTAGACATACCCAATTCCCTCAGCGGCTCATCCTACGGTTTATTATGTACAGTTGGTTCCCCCCCTCAACCCCAACCCAACTCTTCTCAGTCTTACCAATTGCTGAATGCTGAGAATCTCCATGGTCCTCCCTTGCAGAGCCGCAGTGCTCTCTCTCTCCCCAGCGCCTTGCCTGGACAGCTGCATTTATTCTGTCCCGGGGAAGGGTGGATTTAGGCTGCCATCCAAAAACTCCTCTGGCACCCACTTGGGCCCAGCAACTGGATTGCTGGAGTGCCATGTAACACCCGCTAAAATAACTTCATTAAATGCCTCTAGTGACTGCCCATATCCAGAGAGATGAAGGTATGGAGGGGAGGGAGCGAGGGAACAGGCCATTAATTCAACATTTCAGCTGGTCAGTTTCCCAAGCCTTTGATGAAACCGGATTGGCTTTTCCTATCAGCCCAAGAGAAATGGGCTATGGAAACGCCATTTCTGGAAAAAAATTCCCTGCACAGTTGCAGAGTTATGGCCGAGGATGGGCGAAGTAGTGTGTGTTCTGGACCAGTGGTCACCAACCAGTGGGCTGGGGACCACTGGTGGTCTGCGAGAAAATTTTGGTGGTCCGCAGAGAAATGTCACACTCAAAGCAATTAATCCAGGCTGCGCAGGAACACAAGGCTGCGGCGCCCACATGACCCGTGGGAACACAAGGCTTGTGTCGCTTGCATTGCAAACAACACGAGGTAGTGGGGGGGAGAGCGGAGGGGGGGGACTCACCCCACGCACCTGGCCTGGCCACCGGGCTGCTTCTTTCCGCTTCTTTCTTCTTCTGCTTTTGGCTGCACGCAAAGAAAGCAGCAAAAGTCTTTCTTTCTCTCCCCCAAACTCTGCCAGAAATGAGTCTTTGGGACTCCTGCTCCAAGAGGCTGTGGTGGCGTGACAAGTCTCACAAAGACTCATTTCTGGCGGAGTTTGGGGAAGAGAAAGAAAGACTTCTGCTGCTTCTGCTGCTTTCCTTGCATGAAGTCAAAAGTCTCTCTCTCTCCCCCCGCCCCCCGAGAACGGAGCTGGAGACGGTATCCTGCGATCCCAAATAAAAAACGATCCATCAGTAGGAAAACAGGATGGGAAATTTTTCCTGGACTTTTTTTGGGGGGGATTTTCCCAGGGTCTCTGGTCCGTGGAATTTAAAATTATGAGTTTGATGGTCCCTGAGGTCCAAAAAGTTGGCGACCCCTGTTCTGGACTATGACTCCCACAGGCAGGGATGGGATTCTACCGGTTTGGACTGGTTTGCGCGAACCGGATGTTAAAGTTATAGTTATTTTAACCGACCGGCTGGCTCCACCCCTTCCCTCCCAGGACTCTCCACACGGCCCATTTTTGATGCAGGGAAAGCCTCTGGGCCCTTGGGAGAGCAAAAATGGCCTCCTCGGACTCCGGAGGCCCACCGGAAGCCTGAAACAGGAAGTTCCGGAAGGCCCTGCCACCAGGAAGTGAACTGGTTGTTGGGATTTTTGAATCCCACCCCTGCCCAGAGGGCCTTGTTAATGGCCCTGGTTGGCATTGGAGTCCAACATATTCAGAAGATCCAAGAATTCCAGATTCCTGCAGCTCTGCAGCAAAAATTAAGCTTTCTCAAGCTAGTTAGTAGTCAGGCTTCAAATCTGACATTTTTCCATGATAGGCTGCTTCTACCATTAGCTAACAGCAATTGGTATATTTATGGTTGAGTAACGGAGAACGTAGGAGCGTTAAATACAGAATCGTGCACCTGAGGGTGACTCACCCCGTCTTAGGAAAATTGTTTCTTGTCACTTGGGAGTTTTAATTCCAAAGACAAGACTGAGAATCAAGTGCCGACCTTTTTTTAAAAGAAAAATCGAAATAAGCCTCATTTCATATACATTTCCACAAAAGTCCCATTTTTACAATGTCAAATTAATTCCACTTTGCTGACTGGATAGAGGGTGACCAAAAACCATAGCTGTTGGACTTCCTTGCATGGCCAGAAGTAGGAAGGGTGGTTTGAAGCAGGGGTCCCCAACCACCGGTCCGCAGACCGGTACCGGTCCACGGAACAAATCCTACCGGGCCGCTGGTTTGCTGGGCGCCGCCATCTTGTTTTGATGAAAAAGTGCTTCCAGTGAGCTTTTCCGGGTAGAAAGCTCACCGGAAGCACTTTTCCATCAAAACAAGATGGGGGCGCGCAGCGCTTCCGGAAAAGCTCACTGGAAGCGCTGGGCGCCACCATCTTGTTTTGATGAAAAAGTGCTTCCGGTGAGCTCACGGGAAGCACTTTTTCATCAAAACAAGATGGCAGCGCCCAGCTGATGCCGGTACCGGGCCGCGGCATAAAAAAGGTTGGGGACCACTGGTTTGAAGTATGAGACCACAATTTTCCGATGGAATACAATCAGAGCGCTTCTGTCTTAATCAAATTAGTAGTCAATTTAGTGGAATTTTAGAAGCATTGATCACGGATCGAATCTCAACAAGCTTAGGGTTGACTCGGCCTTCCCTCCTTCCAAGGTGGGTAAAATGAGGACCCAGATGGTTGGGGGCAAGAGGCTGATTCTGTAAACCGCTTAGAGAGGGCTGTAAAGCACCGTGAAGCGGTATATAAGTCTAAGTGCTAGTGTTATTCCTCCTTCCTCCCTCCCTCCCTTCCATGGTGGCGCAGAACGCAGTATTGCAGGCTGATTCTGCCCACTACCAGCAGTTCAATCCTGACCAGCTCAAGGTTGACTTAGTCTTCCATCTCTTCTGAAGTCGGTAAAATGAACACCCATATTGTTGGGGCCATATGCTGACTGTGTAAACCGCTTAAGAGAGGGCTGGAAAGCACTGTGAAGCGGTATATAAGTCTAAGTGCTATTCCCCTCAGGTGATAGGCCCATCTGGGTGGCCAATGGGAATCAAGTGATGTCACCACATCAGAGAATGGAGCAGCTGTAGAATGACATCATGACGTGCCATGACATCATCCGGGCTTCTGCTGGGTGCCGATGAGTGAAATAGAAAGGCATGATGTAATCAATTGCCAAGGGAAATGTGAATTCCTTCAACACGGATACCTGAGTCATACAGGGCGAATGGCTGCATTCACACAACACTCTTAACCTGATCACTGAATCAAACCCTTTTTCTAGGTTTGTACATGGACTGAATTATGAACTAACCCAACAGGCTGGTTGTGTCCAACACTCTCAGCTAAAAACATCCCAACCAAAGAAAACAATACACTTTAATCTTTGGCCCCTCTATAAACAGGTTGTGTGAACATTGTTGTGTAATAGTGACCTACTTAGGGAAGTCATTGGGAGAGTTGGGGATTAGTGTACAAAAAGTTATGTTGGCTTGACATTTAAAGCAGGCCACTCATTCGCTTTAATGAGTTGTATTGTATTTTGTATTTGATGTTTTAAAATGTTTAATCAAGGTTTTTTTGTCAAAATAAAAAATAAATAAAGAACATCCAGAGTTTCTTCCTGATAATTTGCTCACAAAAGAAATCCTAACTTTTGGAGCAAACCTTTGGAGAGGTTTTCCAGCTCCCTTACACCGAGCTGTGGCTTATCATGGTTATGCAATTAGGTAGTTGTGTTTATCAACGACAGTTTAACATTTGAAGCATTGAGTGGGAACCTAGCCAGGATCCCTCCTGTTTTCCTCTCGCCCCCAACCAACTTGGTTCCCTTGGCTGCTGTTGGGAGTGCCTGCATGATAAGAAAAATTGCCCCAAACGATTACAGCAATGCCGAAGTCAGGACTGTGTGTGTCACTAGGTTGTGTCGGAGTTCGTGTTACAGCTACAGACAGAAATAGACTCTTGCAAGGATGGCTCTTATGGCGTTCCCCTCCTTCTCTTCCCACTCAAAACAAGCCTGGACGCTTGGCTTCCAAGGACAGCAGGAATTCCAACCCTAACCCCAGCAGGGCTTCTTCCAAAGGTGAGATCCAGAAAGAGAGGCCCAAGGAGAAGACCCCCCCTCTTCCAAGGTCCTTAGCCGTAAGTGCCAGGTGCTCCCTGCTTAGTGACGTATCCCACGGCGGGAACCGGAGTGCCATACCTGCCCTAAGAAGGAGGTGAAGTAGTTCACCTGTCGTTTGCCGAGGCGAGAGATGCCAATGGCTAAACGTTGTGCCCTACTTCGCTTTCCAACTGGCAGCCCCATCGCCCGGGGATGATGAATGGAGACAAAGCCCAAACAGGGGATATGTTTGGTTTATTTTGGGACGCTCCAGGAACTGCCTGGGAATGTGCACTCCTGAATTCAACTACAGGATCAGGAGCAGCCTTGGCTCGTCTCAAAAAAACCAAAACGGGCCTGAAGCCGGGCTCCTGGAAGAGAGACCACCAGGAAACAACCTGGCTACAGGCCGGGCTGTGAAAGGGAATGGAAAAGAGGGCGCCAGAAGAAAAGAAGACATCCTTAAAACATGACAAACAACTGCCATTTCATTGCCAAAGCTCTACATGGGTTCATCCACAAAGTGACAGGTTCAATTTGAGGGAGACTTTCCCCCATTTTCTGTCGAGCAGAGGCACACTAAGAAGGCTGCAGCCAGAGATAATTCTGTCAAAGGAGAGAAAAGTCAGCCTCCGTTGCTGCTGCTCCCACAAAGGCAGGCGGCCATTTTCCATGTTGACATTTATATTTGGGCCTGCTGAGAGTTAACAGTTCTCTTCACGAAGAAGCGAGAAAGAAAGTGCTTCCATTACGTCTTTCCTCACAAAAGATGTGCTTGGTGTCAGGCTATCTTCTATACCAGGGGTGTCCAACCTTGGCAACTTTAAGCCTGGAGGACTTCAACTCCCAGAATTCCCCAGCCAGCTGGCTGGGGAATTCTGGGAATTGAAGTCCTCCAGGCTTAAAGTTGCCAAG